TTGGACTAGATGACCCACAGAGGTCCCTTCCAACCCCTACTATTCTGTGATTCTGTGATTCTGTGATATCGCTACTTCTGATGGTGCTTTCATTGCTGTCAAACTGTTGTGTGTTTTTTGTTTTGTTTTTTTTTTTACTATTGTCTAGGCCCTTTGAGTGCACACAATGATTCCAAATATAAATCCTTCGCAAACCAGCTGTTGGAGTTCAATGCTGATCTAGTTCTGTGCTATCTGGTAACACCTCCTGGCAATTGTTACTGTTGGCAGGTTTTTTGGATAAGCTTTCTATTGTAAGTTGGAGCATGTGCAGCATAGTTAATGGCTGTGGGGCATGGGCAGGTGGTAGATTAGGTGACTGCTTTTATGAGTTATACTGTTATGTGGTCAAAGGCAGCCTAAATGAGACTTCAGTGTGTTCAGTGAATGTGTAGACACAGAAGGGAGATGGTAAGTATATGTTGTGATGATGATTCAGGAAAGCAGACCAGTATCCGCTTCCAAAGGAATGATGACCATAAAGGAATTGTGACTGCTTGCACTCAGTACAAATGTGAGGAAAACTCATCACCAACAATAACAATCTGTACAATATTTTCACCTTGATTGTAGCACTATTTAATGCAAAGGTTGTTGGAGCCTGTATTTTCAAATCCGTGCTGAGATAGACCAGTGAGCATATTAATTGATGAAGTGTTTGGCATTTTGCTACTTTGATGAAAGAGGTCATAAAGTTGTGGATTCCAATTCATAATCTGCCTTCTTCAGTTCTCCACTCCTGATGTGGTGGTAATAACTTTCTTCCATTTTATTTTTTATTACTTGTGTTTAGTGTACTCAGTGTCTTAAATGAGGAAGCATCTTTCCTTGGTATAGATGCCTGGTGTACTTCGGGCTGCCTGGATTGCTGAAGTTTAAAATAGAGTGAAGATAGCGAATATGCTTTCAGACAGTGTTTCTGACACGAAGACACCTGGACAGTCATAGTCAGTTTAAAAGGGGTGATCAAATACAGGCCATCTATGAGAAGATAGAGTAAATCAGAGCAAAATACAGGAATAAGTTAAAGGAAGAAATGGACTGATGTTCTAATTCATGAAAGATGGTAGGTTTTCTCGGATATTCTTCTAAATGTATTTAGTCAGTCGTAGCCCAGATTTTCTTTGATTTGGCAACTGGGACACGCTCTGCCCATTGATATTTACTCTCCAGAGTTGTTCTGCCTTGGGTGCAAACACCATTATTGGCACACTTTCTCCAGAATGATGGTAGGTGAGAACCATGCTACACCACGCTCATGTAGAGGGATTCTGTTTGGAGCTCTTACGTGTCTGTTGACAGCAGTAATGCATCTAAAGATTCAGCGATTCTTTTATTACCTAGTTGCTGTTTAAAAGTTTCTTTTGATTTCTTCAGGCTTGAAAAGCAAAATATGAAAGCCTTTTTACAAATCAGATTATGTTAGAACTTGAGGTCTAGTCTGCAGATGCAGTGCTAGAACATTGTGGTGTAAATAAGGATTACACAATCAAGAGGATTGAATTGGGAAGGTTTATGAATAAAAGCATGTGGTTCAGTTGTACTACTGACTGGGTGGGAAAACCAGATTTGGTAACTTTAAGGCTATGGCAGGGAACATTTAAAGCCTTCTTGAGGCAGCCTTGCATGAACAAATTCCCCCCCTGCCCTTAGGTAAAAGCCTGTTAAGTCAGGTGTTCAAATTAATTCTGCCTAACAACTACTGCTACTGAACGTTTTGCAGCTGTTTAGTACTAATGCAAAATAAAGAGTATGGTAGAAGCACTTAAACACAGCAGGTAGTGATGGATGTTGTTCATCTGACTGATGAATAAGCCTATATAAAGCTAAGTAGGGGAGTGTTCTCTTCAGGGGTGATTGTGATTGTAAGCAGCAGTTGCTAGTGTAAATCTTTGTCCTGAATCTAGTTTTTTTGGCCTCATGTGACAATCTGTTCAAAATCATGGATTACAAGTACCTTAATGATAGACCTCGTAGTAAGATGACAAGTGGTGTCCCTCAGGGTCCATATTGGCATCCACACTGTTTGATATCTTTATCAGTGACATAGTGGGATCGAGTGCACCCTCAGAAAGTTTGCAAATGACACCGAGCTGGGTGGTGCGATCAACGTGCCTGAGGGACAGGATGCCATCCAGGGAGATCTGGACAAGCTGGAGAAGTGGGCCCCTGTGAGCCTCATGAGGTTCAACAAGGCCAAGTGCAGGGTTCTGCACCTGGATTGGGGCAGCACCCTGTATCAGTACAGGCTGGGGATGAAGGGATTGAGAGCAGCCCTGCCGAGAAGGACTTGGGCGTACTGGTGGGGAAAAAGCTGGAAATGAGCCGACA